CATAGAGGTGTCTTCCGAGGGCGAGTGGTTGTTGATGCTCGTGATAAACTCGCGTTTGAGGGCTATCCCCGCAGCAAGATCGGACGAGAGTGAGATGGAAAAGATATGAGACTGGCTGAGAGGATATGGTGGTCATGTTCATGTCAGAGAACTAACTCGAGATGGCGACACGAGGAAATACGACACCTCGGGATGAGGGGGCTGAGCGCCGAGCGGAACACACAGCTATAGCGGCGAAGCAGCAACGAACGGCGATGGTCACCTTCGCCACGGACGAGGGAGGAACCGTGCACCTTGGTACGGAAGAAATTCGGCGCTCCACGGAAACCCCTCCAATGGTAGGTGGCGCGAGAATGGGCAGCCGCCGCTCGTCCAGCGCAGGGACCAGTAGCAGCGGGACCGCGGGAGGTGGCGCGACTGGGGGTATCGCCCGTGCCGGAGACCATCACGGGACAAGGGCGCAAGGCGACAGGTCCAGCATCGCGGCCACCGACACCCATGCGGCAATGGACGGAGACACGGGGAACAACGGGCACGGTGATGGCGACGATGAGAGCTACGATGCCGACCACTCAACGGACCAAGCGCACGTGGAATCTAGGAGCAGTGTGGGACAAGCGGCCCGGCGCCTGGTCATCGTACGTAAGAAGGCCAAGTCCCTGAAACTCATGAAGTTCGAGAGATTGGATGGCACGATGCTGGTCACAATGTGGCTGAAGACGGTGCGCGCGGGAATTCGTCGGCAAGCCGTGACCATGAGCGTCGAATGGAGAGAAACACAGCTTTATCTCGAAGTTGTTTCGCACTTGGAAGGCAACGCTGGTTCGCAACTGTACTGGGGACGGTGCCAGAGTCGGAAGTGACGATCGGCACCCTGTCGGATATGCTCAAGAACAATACGTGACGCAGCGTACGGGCCTGAAGTCGTGGGTCTCTTAAACGTACGACGCTAAATGAGAGGCGAGTGACTGGTTGGGTACGAACGAGCGCTTCGCGAGATTGTAGAACGAGGTGACGTGGGCGAATATTGGCTGGTGAACGCATTCTTGAAAAAAATAAGCAGTGCCGAGGGGCAACGCACGTACGTGGATACCGGCCAGTGACTTTGGACGAAGCAGTGAACCTAGCATTACCGCATGTGGGCGAATATGGCGAGGGGTATGGAGTCGGGTTGGATACGGCGAAGGCGCAATGGGACGACCAAGAAGCCTCACAGGGGCGAGAGCCGCCCGCAACAGCAACGGCGACGCCGACAGCACTGAGCAAGGCGTAAGCAGGACTAACGACAAACGTTGGAAATGTGGTCAGTGGTTCCGGCGCCATGTGGGGGACAGCGGCAAAACAACCATGGTACGATACAGCTGGACGGCTGGTGATCGGAGGAAAAGCCGGTTCAACTGAGTCGTGGCTGGCTATAACGCCTGTATATCCGTTGGCCCTGTTGGCAACCGCCGATCACCAGCTGGGACGCCAAAATTGCAAGCATCCGGCTGTCGAGAAACGACTGCAAGGAAAAAAGACCGTCTCCTATTGCTCAGAGCACGAAGCCAAGAGCCAAAGCACTGAAGTTCGAAGGAGGAGCGTGTGGACCCCGTGATGACGCAGCAGCCCGTCTTTCACCACGCGTGAGGGGCGGCTACGCCGCACCTGGGTGTGCATGCAGTAACGAGCTCCACGGGAACCGTTCGTGTCACAACCAGGAACGAAGTGCCGTTTCTGTAATCAGAAAGGCCACTTCATCCGCGTTTGCCAGTTGAAGAGAGAAGACCTCGCTGCTGCATTCGGGCAGGGCGAACGATCGACGGAAGAGCGGCGCGACACTAATGACAAGGTGGGAAACGAGCAGTGAGCTTACGGACCCCGGCCATAAGGCTCACAGAACCGGATTCGGGTAGATTATATAGCAGAGACGACCAGTTGAGTCGTGGCCCAACCGCGGCGACGACCGGCGACGAAAGAAACAGAGACAGAGACAAGCTAGCGGCTAGCGGATATGTGCTGCAGAAGTCGAGGCGAGGCGAGACTGAGGGTGTCGGAGCACCGTCCATGCCACCAACAGCAGAGAGCGGTGTCTGTACTAAGGTTGCGACAGGAGCAGCAAAACCCGCGGTAAGTGATAGCGTCGTCACCTCACAATCCCGACGGCACGAAGTAGAGGCTGCGGCAGTGAAGGCGGATGTCCTGTCTGGGGCATCACAACAGAGGGCGGAGTCGACGAGGCGGAAGGTGGACATGGTGGCAGCGGAGATGAGTCACGACAACGCTGGGAGCCGCACCGCCAATGACGAGACCCCAGTGAGAGTGCCGACGAAGAATACCAGCGCTGTAGCCGGCAGACGTGATGCGGACGTGGCGACCTGGGAGGTGATTGCTGAAGCGGGGGGATCGGCTGGATGGCAGTCGTAAGTGACGACGACACGTAGGCGATTGACGCGACAGCAGAAGATAGCAATGGCACGCCGGAGACTCTCCACGGTGCCATGGTGAGAGAAATTCGACGAAGGCATGCGACCGCGGCGGAGGCGCCGATGACCAAAGTGGGGAAGATCGCGGTGGACGAGGAGGTGACACACGTAGCGGCACGGCAGCACCACCGACGCCAGAAACTACTGGCACATATGAAAGCACCGCATGAACGACGGGCGAAACGCACCAAACTGAAGAAGGCCGTGAACGAGACCAGCGGAGTGAGCGCGAGGAACACCAGAGGCGGTGGTGTCCATCCGGCACATCGAGAGGTGACAATGGGGTTAGTGAGACAGGTCGAAGAATGGCCAGGTCGAGGTTCCTACGAAGTTGTATTGCGCCGTGAACGAACAACACGGAGGTGCGGGAAACGTGTGAGAAAGCGAGGGCCAAAGAGCAGTGTGATGACGCGTTCTACGCGCTGGAGGGTGCGTGTCAAAGGCGAGGGACGGCTGAGGCGCGACGCTTGGATAAACACGTGGCAGAGGCTGCGGGGTCCCGGTCGCACGTGGGTAAAATGAGCGACGGCTTTTCCACCCGGAGACGACGCGCAAAGCGATACAAATACCGCGGTGGTAGTGGGTACGCACGGCCGTACATTAGGCACGACGACGGCGACGCAGGCCCATGTGGGCCAGGATATTGCGAGCTGCACAGGCGCCGGTTGAGGAAGCCCTACCGACAGCCAAAGTGCGTGTTGGTGGTGAAGAGCGGCAGGACAAGTTGTATACCGGCACGCAATACTGCGTGGCCTTACAAGAGTGGCAAGCGTATGTAGAGAGACAGAACGTGTTTTCTCCCGTGGACTACGTCGAAGGGTTTATGGGGACTATAGGAGGGGATACTCTTGTTGATCCGTGATCAGCTGAACTTCCTCGCCTTGTGTACCCGTCGGTAGGGTCAGATCTTGCTCCTCCGGTAACTGCAGGAGAGGTCCAAGTGTTGAAGATCTTGAGTGGCTTGGCGAGACGCAGGGATGTGGTGAACAGCGCCGAAAGTCTTTGCTCTGTTGCCAGGTAAGTTGATCCGGGGTCCACGTGAGTAGTCGAACGTGGATCACCGGTGGCGGATCTTGGATCCGGCCGTGTAGATTGCCTTGGTGTGTTGGTTGGGGTTGGTCTTGCGATCCCTTTGAGTTGCTTGCAGTATCCTATGACCGGATCATGGGGGAGTTGAAAGATCGATGGATCGCACGGCCACGCACTAAATTGTCGTGGATCCGGAGATTGCACGTATAGAATAAGTAAGTATTAGGCAGTTGGATATTGTCAATATATTATCCGGTTATCCTAACAACACTAAATACAATATTGCTAATACGAGATCACCTTGTAGGGTCGTTATATATCTTGATCCGAGGTGTCCGTAATGCACTAAGTATGGATCAAATAAAGAAACCAGCCACTTGATGCAAATTCGATTATTTGATATTGCTAGGCCTTTGATCCTGGTTTGTCCTATCCTCGGCTACCTGGATCCATGTACCTTCCTTTCTAACAACCGCTTATCTTCATGTCTTGATGTGCACTGCCGATTACATACCTTGTTTACTTCATTCAAATTGGTCCCGAGTAATCATGTCTGGATCAGGTATAGTCGTACCCAATCAGGTGCCTATAATTAGGTCACCCCAGATTGATCCAATTGTCCCCAAATCAGTTGATCTGAGTCCTTCATGCCTTCTCAGATTTGGATCCACGGTAATTATCGTAGGTTCGGGGATACCTGTCAATCCACTCGATCCGGTCACTCCCTGTCCGTAAATCTCGGAACCAACTTCACCACAATCGCCTCCCGTCTGTAGTTGTTGCTGCCCAATTAGGATCACTGCAGACGCCTTTCTTATTTCCCGTCCCTCGCAGACTCCAGCAATCCAACGCCGACCACGCTCCGAGTCCTAGTGGGTCCTCCAGCGACGGATCACTTGGATCTGCCTTCGTTTGTCATGCGACGGGTGAGGATCAGCACCGATATGCTACACACCTCTTCCGCCGTGTCGGTGAGCTCACGGCTGCATTGGCTATCCAGACGCTCCCCCGAGGCTCCGATCCACGGTCAGTCGAGCACAAGGAGATCTCTGCGATTACATCCATGTGCAAAATGAGGTCGTATTCTTCATGCAACAGTCGGTCATTCATCTCCGTGATAATATATTCGTAGATCCACAATTCAACTTCGTTTCTTCGTTCCCATATTCACACCTGTATCGACTTGTTCCACAGAGATCCTCAATCAGCACCTTATCATATACAATGCTATGTAAACCCTTTCCATCGATCCGTAACCTCATTGCAGATCCATCACCCTTCTACCACACCAACGACCAACTCATCCATATGGATCCAGATCTCACGGTTCTTCGTGAGACTACATCCCACCAGACCTGTTACGATTAGTGCGGTCTCGCAGAAACTCATAAAGTATGGCGCCGCCGTTGAGAGCTGCCTCATCCATCCAAGTCAGATTTTCATATCCGCACCTGTGTACCAGAAATTCTCGATATATCCTTCCATATCTCGGCCATTTGCCAGTCCTCATATCGGAAATTCGATCCACTTCATATTCATCTGGATCTCGATCTTGGGTTCACCTGTCTTCAGGTAAAATGGCTTCATCAAAATCCACTTGATCTGCATCCGACTCCGGTAGGCGAGCTACAGGTCGATCTGGGAACATCCTGACAGGTTTGATATTCGAGACATGTACCACAGGAAAGATGCTGTGAGTTGATTCTGTAATCTCCAACTTCATTGCATATCCTCCGATCTTCTCCGCGATGTGAAATGGCCTGTGCCAGTTTCCTTGCATATCCTTCACGCACTCGATCCAAGTATAACCAGACTCTTGATCCAGCCTGCGCTGGATGTAGGCGTACTAGATCATTATGTGCGTCAACTCGATCCGCGATAGCTTCGCGTAAACATAGATTAACTTGTTCTCGAGTCTGTTGGTAATACTTTTGCATCTGATATTGCCACCTTCTTGGATCTCGATCGTGCCCGCGAGTGTTCCCACCGGGACCACCGCTTCCATAGTAGATCTAGGATCCCAGCCATGTATCATGTAGAAAGGGGTTTCACCCCGGATCCGATCTCTTGTGGTGTTGATTGCGAAGGTGAGTCGTTCCGCATATTCGTCCCAATCACGTTGATCCAGACCCTGCACATACAGCCTAGCATTTTTACTCCACTATTACGGATAATCCGGAATAGCATTTATAGAGGTGTCAATGTTCCACGATATCCGCAACAATATATCTCACTCCCGAACTCCGCATATAGAAGTTTGCATGTGATAAATTTTAACAGGTCGTTCGTATGCAGCATTGCTCACTGAGACATGAAATTTGCAGAAAGAGGTTAGGGTTAAAATATAAGTATCCACGGGGAGGCTTCCCTGCCTCTCATTTTGAAAACTGCTCCGCATCCAAGACATCCACTACTCCTGACTCCTGACCATCAAGAATTCTTTCGCGCAAGTTTGCATGATTGGAGCAGGAGAGCGCAGTCGGCACAACTACACGATATTGTATCTGGTGGTAGCATCAGATGCATGAAGGTGAACGTAGGTACGCGTCTAATTACTTCCTGAAGTACGGCCTCTCGCTAATTCAGTGTCGTAAAACGAATAACCGCTAGGTGCAATCGTACTGACGCCATGAGCATTTCAATCGTCATCTACCTCGTCTCGCCCGTGCTTTAGTGGCCCCGGACTATTCCTCAACCGGTACGGTAACTTTACTATTGTAACATTACGGCTATCACGACTCTAACGACTATAAACGGACATATACTGCAGTGAATATGGCCGAGATCAAGACGAATATCACATCTGCTGCGCTGCGCTTGTAAACAAAGCGGGAAAAGCCTCCAGGTAAGTGAATGCGTTGATGCTATGAAATCTTTTACTAACTGCTGGATGATGTTGGCACGGGTATAATATATTCTTACGGATGCACCTGAACTTAGTCTGGAATGCCCGTAACAGCCTATCCCGGATACTACAGAAACTACTCGAGAAACCTTTAACCGAGGCGTTGTCTACTGCCTACATGACAATCTTTGCTAATTGATTGTTCATGTACGATGTTGGTGAACATCTCGGTTTCAAGGCCTCCAAGCAATTGACGTGCACGCTAACTACGCCTGGAACACTAGAAGGTCCAAGTATCAATCTAAATGCTGAGATATCTCAAGACTAACCGCTGGGTTGTAAGATGTTTGCAATGGCCGATGCATCTACTGATAGAATGTTCGGAACGGAGTAATGCAACGAGATAATTGTTTCGCTTGGGAAATTCTTACATGACTAATTTTCGGTGGCACATGTTCTAGTAATTTGGCGAAGTGCTACCTCCTGAGAGCAAGGTATTTTGCTGTTGTATGATCAGGAGAATATCCAAAAGTTAGCGAAATGACATCTCCTAGCACAAGTCTTCTTTGGTTTCCAAGTGTAGGTATGAAGGAAGTACTGCTGTAGAAATAATAATGGGACGTTCACGGAGCACTAGTGCATGTTGCAACGTGGACAGTGTCTTGTTGTTACCTCGTAAATAACGGTTTTGCAGGGAGATCGCAATTCATAGATTTATGAACAGATTCTGTACATCACATCACCCCAAGGCTGGCCAATCACCAGCCTCACTGAAGACACGTGATATGGGAAAGGGTTTGAACCATGATATTTAGTAGGTTTACGTTCATTCATATATTATGAATTACAATTAATCAGGAATATTCTTCGCGTTAAAGGGGTTAAGAACTCTTGTAGTTGTCTGGACCATCGGCTCTGCAGATCCATTAGCTTGAGGTCGATAAACCATAGTAGCGCGTTGACGTTGACACAAGATCTTGTTGATATACTTGAAGAAGTCAGACATTAAACCTGGCTCTTGATCACGCCGGATCACCTCGCTCGCACCAAATCTGCGGAAAACACATTCTTCGTAAGTCTCCGCGATCGTCTGTGCAGATCTAGAGACGCTGGCGTTGGCCATCACGTATGCAGAGAAAAGATCCACGGAAATCAACGGCTCAGTGTTGCCATTGAAAGATCTGGGCAGTGAAGGTATGTGATATATGGCGATGATCAGGAACGGGTATGTTCCCTGAAGGTTACCAGGTGACTCATCCTGGATCCGAGGTCATCCTTGCTTGTTTCACAATCGACACATTCTCCCACATATCGGTATACGCTCTTGCATAACCCTCCCCAGTGGAAATGATCGCGGATCCGATCATAGGTCCGACCAATTCCTTGATGACCACCTTGCAGACTCGTATGATAGTGATGCAGAATATCTTGCTGCTGAAGCGTCTCAGAAACCTCCAATCGCATCAACTTGTCTCGATCCCCAGCGGATTCTTTGGTTGTCGGACAGTAGAAGAGTAGGTCCGACTGATCCACTTCATAATTCACGGCAACTGATCCAAATACCTTAGCGTCTTCCTGTGTCAGATCTCTGATTTCTCCAACCAAATACTTCTTCAGGCCTGAGATCCACGGTTCCTCATCCTGTGCTTGCCGGATCCGCTCGATCCGCAGTTCTCTCGCAACTTCCTCATGCAATGCGTCTGGATCAGACCCCGTCCGCACTCCAGATCTAGCTTTAAACCGGGCCGTCACAGCCGATATACGTGCAGTCTCATCTTCGATCTTCACTACCAGGATCCCATCCAACCGGTTCAAGGTCACTAGATCCCGGATATCTTTCTCACAACTCGACCACGATCCCGCATTATTGCTGCAGCGCCGCACTAGCCAAGCTGTCGGCACTCCCATTCCAATCTCGTTTAACGTGCAACAGCTCATGATCCTACCAAGTTCGTAGTCGATCTAGACCTCTCTGGCGTAGCAGTGTCAAACCTGGTGCCTTACAATCGATCTCACCTCGTACTTGTCGGATCACCAGGTTCGAGTCTCCGCAGATCACCAGGCGCCGTGAATCCACGTCTTCCAGTAGTTCAAGCGTAACAGTAGTCCATGGTATTCCTCTTCGTTAGCTGTTAAGCCCTCGTCATAGCCAGATCTAGCTTTCAGTACACTACATTCAGGCAATTTCCACAGGATAGCGCTGTAGGCGCCTCCACCTCTCTTGACACGGCGGATCTATCAAAACTAACGGCATATAGATCCTTGTCACGTTTGATAGTGGGGGTCGAGGTCTGGATCTTGCGTCGCGGTTCCTTTTTAGGGGCGAGCAAGATCAATGCCTTATCCGCGTCAGATCTAGGCGTAATACTGGCTATCAATGCTCCTAGGATCTCGTCCTTATCCTTGATACACTTGATAAATTCGAGAGTTCACGGCAACAATAAAGCAGCCCACTGCCCTAAACGCCCTTGTAGGGCGGTAGGCCTGAAGAGCCACGCAAAAGTAGAGTGTCGGGTCAACACATGGATCGGACGTCCGACCAAGGCATTTTAGTTAAGACACAGGATCATTAGCAAGGCTAGTACCTCCTTCCCCGCAATGCCGTAATTCAACTCATTTTACTTCAAACTGCGACTTGTAAACATCACGGGGTTGTAGGTCTTGTCATATTCCTGCATCAACTATCCTGAAATGGCCCAGTCACTAGCATACACCATAACCGTAGCTCTTCGATCTGGATCAAAATGCCGCAGGATCGGGGTAATGGTGATCTTGGATTGAAGAACACCGAAAGACTTATAGGCATGGATCCAACGTAGATCCACCTCCGTGAGATCCTGCACTTGATCTTCCTGTGATTCTTGATCCACATTCTCCACCTTTAATACTCGTTGGATCTGTGCTTGGGTGGTGTCCTTCATCGTCGCAGCGGATCTCTCGCAATTCATACAGAACTGACGCATAGATCGCGTAGCCTTCGATGAATCGGATGTAGTAGTCCAAACTTCCCAAAATAACTGCATTGTTCTAAGTGACCTTGGAAACGCTAGATCAGTCAGTGCTGACAGATCATTTACTTTGCCTCCAGTCCATTGTGAGATACTTTATGGTCGAGATATTCCACCTTAGGCATTCCCCAAAAACTCTTAACCGCACTGATCGGAAAATTCCACTTATCACACGCTTCGAGGTAACCTTCCCCTCGAGCACATAGTTGATCCCCGTTATTAGCTAGGATTAGGATGTCGTCGATGTATGATCTACGGCCAAGCACCGATGGCTTGCCTGAATCCACCGGTTCCCCGTCCTCAAACACATCCAAAGTACTTCCGTGATCTTCAGATTTTGGGATCCGGGTGAATCCACATAGCGCGTTGCCGATCGTACGTTGATAGATCTGGGGCGCATTCTTCAAGCTGAAAGGCTTTCGATTCCACTCAAATAACCCAAAAGGAGTGATAAAAGCCGAGATCAAACGAGCACGATCCGTCATTTTCACTACCCAGAATCCACTCGCCATATCCAAAGAACAGTACCAGAGTGTTGACGCCAGATCTTCAAGTAGGTCGTTGCTCAAGGGCATTAGGTAGATCATCAGCTGGGTTAGACTGTTAACCAATCGGTAATCGATGCATAACCTGATATCCACTCCGTTCTTCTTGATGGTCACCACGACTGGGGAAGCCCACGGTGATCTAGAGTAATTGATCATCTTGGCAGATAACAAACCCTTGATCAGGTCTGCCAGCTTCTCCCTGAACTGGATCCGCAGCTTACGACACTTCCGGGCGATGGCCTCGCACCTCCGACATCGATATCGCATACGACTCCTCTGGACGCCGGCGGAAGGGCATTTCCTTTGCCGATCAAGAGGTGTCGGAACTTCCAGATCTTTTGGCGAAGTCGATCAATCTCTTCTGAGGTCTGGTTATCAGATCCACATAGCTGCATGCCCTCGATCTTCACATCTTCTGTTGTCACGGGCACTTCTGGCAGTACCGCCATTTGACCGTCGACATCTCCCGCGTACAGATCACTTTCTTCATGGTAGTATACACATTCACCATAATCTTGATCCGAGTCCCAGCTGAGATCCAGGTCCGGCGAGTCTAATTGATCTTCAACAACAGGGGTGGATCCATGTCCGTTTTGGCGACCTACATGTAGTTCAATGGATCACCTGTCGCAGTCCCGGCCCAGATTGTACACTCTCATTGATGACAGATCTGATCAAGCACACTTCGACGGTGATGTTCCTTGATCCTGAGTCTCCAAATGTGGTTGATTTTGGTTGACGATTCAAATTCCATCTCGGTATTCTTCTTTTCGCGCATCCACTGCACTTGTCGTATCCACCAACGCCGAATCAGTTGCCCAGTCGTCTGGCGTTATTTGATCGAGATCTTCCAGTGCCTCCCTGACCGTTACGGCATGCGATATAGACTCTCCATCTGCAAAAGACGACAGATCCGACTCCTCACTTGCGACAGACACTAGATCCAACGGTCGAATCTTTGACGGCGACTTATCTGATGGCGAGCTGTCCGAAGGTTGGCAGTCAGGAACATCTTGATCCTGATTCGTCTCGACCTTCCGACACTGGATCAACGTCATCTTCGGCCTTTGCAGTATTGCGCGCGGAGTTTCGTACTTGGGCCGCTCCACCGCGGGTGTATGCGGGATCTTGATCTCCACGTCTCTGAATCGAGCGTCTGTCGTGGCTTCTAACGCTTGATTTTGCCACTCCATGTAACGACGGGACCCGATCGAGATGAAACCCGGTAGCCATGGCACATCATCTCCGGCTAGCCAGACCCTCATCTGTTGGTCTTGATGCAGGATCAACACCACGTCCCAGATGTTGATGATCGAGATGTACTTCGTCCTCCCTGGCCAATCGGATATTGTCGACGCCCATTGATCCCCACATATGACCCACAGCTTGTAGTGGATCGACGACCTCAGGGGCAATGGCAGTTCCACCGGCTTTCCTGCCAGTTGTGATCTTGATGGCTTCCGGTAGTCGTGGATCCAGATTCACAGACTCTTTCTCCACCTTCGGGTCATATCTTCGCTCGCTGCACGGAAGATCCTGCGATGACTGACGATGTCGGAGCCAGCTCCACCCGATTCGTCGGAACAACTGTCAGATCCAGAATGAGCAGCTTGGATCTGGATCGCACGCACTTCTTTCGCTGGAGCGGAAGGGTCCGTGTTGGTCGTCTTCTGCTGATGCTTGCTGGATCGAAACCCAGCCTTCTTCTGACGATTCTTAGGCGGTCTCGGGCGCGAATGACTTCTTCGACATCATCCGCGTCGGTCAACCGCAGCCGGGTTAACCGTTCTGCTAGATCTTGATCCTCAAGCGTCTAGATGTAATGATCCACATGTTACATCGGCCCTTCGCGCTGCCATCCTTGATCTTGAGTCGCGTACGGAGCCCCGCCACGTTGAGACGATACAAGTAGTCCAGTGGCGATTCATCCGATCTGCGTCGCGTAGGGTAGTACTGTCTTGTTACCGATACTTCAAGCACACAGTACTGGATCCGGAAACTGCGAAGCAGATCTCTCCATTTGTTGCGAGTGGAACTATTCAGCTGGCGATACCAGTTCTTGGCGGATCCAGCAAGAAGGTCTGCACAGGTCAAATACCTTTCGTCATCCGATGCTTGATCTCGCATAAACGCAGAGTTCACTTTGCTGACCCATGCCCGCGTTCGATCTTCGTCTTGATCCTTACTCGTGAACTCTTTGAAGTTCGAGATCGCCGAGATCCGAACACGCTGTATCATGGTGGAACCTATGGATCCACTAGCATTGGTGGCCAGTGTGGCTTGTGCAGACATGAGAAAGTCTACCTCGTCGGAATCGTACTCCCAGCGAGATCCACGATCGGAAGGTCGAATGGATTCCATCTCGACATCTTGTGATCCTTGATGCTGTGGCTGCGTAGCAGCTGGACCTTTGTTCGCCTCGCGTTCTTCGGCCAAGTATCGGTCCATTGCAGCATTGAAGAACTTCTGCAAGGTACCGACTGATCGATCTGAACTCTCGGTGGCTGTGGCTTGATCCGTTGGTGCGGATCCGTTATCGCGGCCACTGCTTCTAGCTGAACTAGAGCGGCGGATCTTGGATCTCGCCTCCAGCATTGATGCCCCAGAGGGTCCTAGGGACATCCGTCGCTGTGGCTCCGAGGGAGTGTTGGGTCCATCTTCCGCGGCTGACGTATAGTGTGACGACACTGTTAAGTTATCGACGGCGTCGGTCGTGGTCAATGGAAGTGGATCCGGGCTCTGGGGCACCTCGTCGACTAGGATCTTCAACTTCTGGAACAGATCGCGGGTGGTAGTTTGGATCACATCAAGATCCAAGTCAAACAGTGCGTCCGCATCGAAGGATCCGGGATCATACCAGCTTCTTTCGCCAAGCGGATCAGTTCCATCACTGCATATAATATGTTGGTCAATGCTGCAGGAGCCGTCACAGGTTCCTTCGGATCCGCGATCCGCTTCAGCTTCAGAGTCCGCATCACTGGATCCTGGTCCACAAAGTCACGTAGCTCCTTGCGGTGATACATGGACTTCAGGTATTCTTCATACCAGCCAGATCCGTGGCGATCTTCATCTTTCTCGTCATCTGGTGCTTTCATCTTCTTCCGTACAGGCTTGGATGTCGGCTTCCCGACCTCGGATCGAGAGACTTGCGTGTTGGCTTATCCGGATCAATGAATGATTACGGTTCAGCCTTCACCTTTGTTTGTTTTGTTGCGGATCTTGACGCGCGTCAAGATCCGCAGGGGCTCCATGTCGGAGACCTGTGGGGGATGAGGTTTCTCTTCCAGATCTGGATCGGGAGCCAGATCGGCCTCACTTCCGTCGGCAGGGTTCCTCCTGACACTCTGTCAATTCGCAGATTTAGCGTTCAGCGATGTCGTCGTCGATTTGGCATCCGACGACATCTCGTTCCTTTGTTAAATTTTACTTGAACTTCTTTTTGAGGCTCACGGTGAAATCCCGAGTCACCAGAAGATCCGGGCACGCGCACCTTTGTGGTGGGGTGGGATAAGCAACATTCTTGAGGATGCAGGATCCGGCTTGCCACTGTACCCAGGGCACCGACTATAGGAGGGGGTACTATTATTGATCCGTGATTAGCTGAACTTCCTCACCTTGTGTACCCGTCGG